CATTAATGCGTAAATTGTGCCCTTAAATCCTGGTCTGAATAATGCTTATGTCTCGTTGAGCTGTGTGGCAGAGAGGAGAAACGTCTGCCAGGCTGCTGCTCTGTGAGGAGGGAGTTGGGCTGAGAGATGGTGGTGAGTGAGATCAGCTCCTGACCCTGCTTTACGGGTTTCTCTGCCTAAGCTCTCCCAGTCCTTGCAAAGAAGCAGAGCACCCGTGGCAGTGCCATGGGCCGTGTTGTGAGCATCCATACTCCTTTCACAGTTGACAACTGAGACCAAGTTCCCTTCTAAGGATTATGACACCAGGCTGAGTCCATTAATTCTTTGCAGCTGGGGAACTATAGCCAACCGAATGGCCAGAGGGGTTGAGCTGTGTTGAGTCATGAGGATGTAGCTCTGTTTCTTCAGCTTTGGCTGGAGGAGAAAAAAATCAGTTACAAAGCAATGGCAAAAAGTGACCGTTAATTATAAGAGGTAACAGGGTGTAGCCCACAACCATGACCTCTAGGGTCTTCATTGCATGAGAAATTTGAATCATAGAAACAGAATATCCTGAGCTGCAAGGAAGCCCACAAGGATCTTTGAGCCCAACTCATGTTGGACTATCAAAAGATTTGCTAAAATCCAAAAAACCCCACATTTATTGCCTTCCCTTTGTCCACTAGACAGGTTTCTGTAAAAGGAAATAAAGTCAGTACGGCATGAAGAATCTGCTAAGAACATTTCTGGGGAAATGAGATTCTGTAGTGTGAATTTTTTAAAAGTCATTTACATTTATTCTAAGTTGTCAACCCATCAATTCTCATGCTGTAATTTTGGGGAGAATGGTATATCTTTAATGTCTAGCCATGAATCCTGCTTTAATCACAAAACTTCGTTCAGGCACGAATCAAAATGGAGAGGAGCACTGGCTATATGTAAAATTGCTTATTATGCTCCTTTAAATACTCACCCAGGGCTGGGAGTTAATGAGTGCTAATGATCCCTCTGCCTTTTGTTTGCAGCCATCCTATGACAAAAGGTCCCTTGTCTTTTGTATTAGGAATGTCAACAGAAGTTGTTCTGGCAAACACCTAATCCTGGACTTCTCCTGCCAAAAGTGTCCCAGACCATCTACCAGCATGTGCTGGGGGTCTGACCTATTGATCTTGGGTTTCTCACTTGGAGATGATTTTGAGCTGATATGCAGAGGATTCAAGCCTCCAGCTAATCCTAATTGTGGATGCTCCTAAAAATCAGCCTCCAAGCCTGTCCAAACTAGAAACTCAGAGGCAGATGCTCCTTCTAGAAAAGATGCCTAAGCAAAGCCTTTCCCAGAGACAACTTGCCTATGAGCAGGATGGCAAAAACTGAAGCTGAGGAGCTCCTGACTGCTTTGCCGAGGCCCCGGGGGAGCTCACTCTCCTTGTTCCCTGCTCTTCCTAGCTCCGTGATTCCATCACCCTCGCGTTGTACAAGCCCTCAGGAGTCACCACCCCTCTCCTCACTCAGCTCTAAGGAAGGCAGTAGTTGAGTTTGAGAGCCAGCATTAAATTCAGTTTTGGAGACTGCCTGGAGCACAAGTTGGTCTCTGTGTGAAATGAGGCCCCGGCTGTCACCCTCGGAGTGGTCCTTGGAGAACAAGCCCGTACGTAATGTGCCTGACAGCCCTGTGAGGAACACAGCAGTGATCAGGAGGAGATTGTTGCTTTGCTGTGGTTCAGTGCAGACTACTTAGTTATTCAAATCATATCTAAGCGCCCCAGTGAATGCCTTGGAAACATGATTTCGTACAAGCCTGGAGTGAGAGGTCTAACTCTGAGGCTGCTTAAACTGGAGATTTCCAAACTACAACCCCCTAAAAATGACTTGGCATCAAGATTTGAGTAATTTCTTACATGAGGGATGATCAGAGCTTGTGGCACTCCAAAGTGGCAGCATCTGCTCTGGGGTCATTCTGGTTGGGGGGTGCTCTTGGTGTCACAACCCGTATTCTGGGCAGCTGTGCCAGCCCTGATGCCATCCAAGAGGAGGGTATGTTGGCTGATCAGTTATTTTGTGCCTACAATCTGCAGGGTCCCCTCAGGACACTGCCCTGAGAGCAGAATCCATATGCACCCCTTTAATTAAAAAAGCAGTAAATGGGGAAAAGGAACATCTTTCTAGAGCTGGAGCACATGGGTAGTGTAACCGTGACACAGACACCCTCCCACAGGCTGCAGCTCCTACAAGAAAAGCAAGTAGCTGCTGAGCACAAGCACGTCCGTACGAGAGGGAGATGTTTCAAGCACTGACACAGATTTGGCTGACAAACATGGTGCTGGCACACTGTCTCCTTTGAAATAGCAAGCACGCTGCCGCAAAACGCGCTCTGCGGTGCTGTGTCTGTCCCCGTGTGCTGTGAGAGGGGCTCCCAGGGAGTTCACGCCATGAAGCGATCTGGTTCCTGAGCAAGGGCTGGAGGAGACATTAGGTCCCGGAGGGAAAAGTTGAGTCCCCTGACTCTTTTCAAACATCTGGCTCTTGTGGTCGTTGTCCTGTTCCTCCCCAGGCCTTAAAAAACAAAACCCAAGCTGGATGCAGACTGCAGTGAATGTTTTTAGTGAGTGCTGTCCAAAAAACAAGACTTTTTTTTGAAGTTTATTCCAGTTAAAATGGCAATCCTGCAATTCCAAGCAACCTGGCTGGGTCCATGGGGCAGAGGTCTTGGGCGATGCTGGCATAGATTCATTCAGAGCAAGGGGCTGGGCAATAGATTCCTAAATTAATCTCTTTGGGGTGTTTTCCCCAGATGTTCTTAAAACTACATAAGTAATGAGATTATTCCTTGCAGTTCCAGAAGCAGAGTCACTTTGTCCTGACCTGCAGCTCCCTGCCTGCCCCAACAGAAGGCTGCTTTCCTGCTCCGATCTCTCTACAGCCAGGGTGTAGCTTATCTGGGAAGGTGGTATTGTGCTGCAGGGCTGGGGCTAGGTTTCAGCAGGGCAAGAGGACATCCATGTAGGTGAGTGAATTGAATTCATGGGTCTGGTCACTGGAGCACTGGGCTGGTTTTATTTCCAGGAGTTACTCAGGCGAAAAAGAAACCAAAGATGGCTGGGCCACTTTCCACCACTTGGTGCTCTTGTTTACAGTTGTATGTGCCCACCGGGACCCATATCTCACACCTCCTGCTGCCTACAGCTGATGGTGGGATTCAGTGCTTTGGGAGAAACACTGCTTCCCTCCTGGGGCTTGTGCAGCCCCGAAGCAGGTGGAAGAAGGCTAAGCGAGCAGCAATGCAGCCAAGTGTCCCCTGGTTACCCCCTTCCCACGATCCCATGCACAGTTAAAACTGCATCCAAGAGTGTTTTTGCTAAGGCGGTGCCCCATCTGCGACACCCCATGCACCACCATGTGCTGTGCAGTTCTGGCATGGAGCTGCACGCTGCCTGTGCCCCTGCGTGTCCAGCCACACGTGGCATTCTGCCTGAGCCAGCCCAAAAAGCTCTGCTCCAGGGAGGAAAAAAGGACGTGGAGGCTGTAACCTGCTGGGACATGCTTATAAACCCCAGAAGCACTGAGGGATGGACCCTGCTCGGCCTGGGGGCCATAAATCCCCAGCTGCACCAGCGCTGGCAGGGCCCATGCAATCGCTGCTGCGCCGGTGCGAGTGGCTGCCATGAAGGTCCCTGCCTCTGCTGCCTTTTGGGGCATCTTTGCTGCTCTAACCCACTCCCCTCCCAGGACCATAAGGGCCACTAAGATGATTAAGGGATTGGAGCATCTGCCATATGAGAAGAGGCTCAGAGAGCTGGGACTGTTTAGCTTGAAAAAATGGAGGGTGGGGGGTGTTTCTTTATTAATACCTCATGGGGGGTAAAGAAGACAGAGGCAGATATTCCTCAGTGGTGCCCAGTGAAAGACCAAGCACCAAACTGAAACTGAACTACAGGCACTCAAGATAAACTTAGAAAAGCTTTTTCTGTGAGGATGGTCAAACACTGGCATAGGTTGGTGAGAGAAGTTCTGCTATTTCCATCTTTGGAGATACTTAAAACCCAGCCAGATGTGGTCCCCAGCTTTAGCTGAGCCTGCTCTGAGCAGTGGGGAGTGGCTGAGCATTTCCAAATGTCCCTTCTCACCTCGACTATTCTGTCTGCTCTGTGATCAGTGATGAGACTTGCACCAAGAGGTGCCAAATGTTTATGGAAATGGGTTTGAAAAAACAATTCAGCTGGATGAGCTCTGTCCCCAGTTCTCTGGAATCCTGCTTGGGGCCAGGTGCTGTGGTGTGTTCTCACCACAGGTGCAGAAGACAGTAGGAACCAGGGCTGTCCTGGTTTTGGTGGCTCCCTGGGCTGGGCACCCCCATCATGTAGCCTAAGTATGACCACCTTGGGTGATGCTTCCCATGCCTAGCAGCCAAAGTTTGGCAACAGCTTGGCAAGTCTTGCAAAGCTTAGGGAAGGTGGAAACTCCTTCCACTCCTGAAAAGGAGAAACCTGTGGTCCTTTTGGTGACACTGAAGGCCATGATGGGAGTAGTGTAGATCCTCAGCTTACCAAGCACCTGAGAAACACTCAGCTGAGCCCAGCTTTTGTCCCTCACTCCAGAAGCATTCCTCCACACCTTTAGAAAGACAACATTGGAAATGGCAACTCAATCCCCACAGTGACAGCACCGCTGGAAGGCCGGCCAGCAAGTCATGCTGTGGGACTGGGCAGTGTCATGCAGGGCCAGAGCAATCCCCTCTGTCCCCGTTGTGTCAGGCCAGCAGGGCCAGTTCTGTGCCCCGTGCTAGGTGAGAGGTACCCACTCTCCTGAACGCCTGGCCACAAAGGGCACGCAGCAGCACCCCTGTGCTGGCTCTGGCTGGAGGGTGCTGGTGGCTGAGGTGAGGGGCAGGGCTGCACCTGGGCGATGCTAGAAGTTATGCTCCATGAGACCCCTCACCACCCTTCAGCCTGCTACACCGACCCCCAGCTTACCCCACACCTCGGCAGCGGGGCCAAAGAAACACCTGCACAGCGACACTGTCACTCATTAAACGTTTGTTTTTATTTCTGGTTTAAAATCAAAATTAGTTGTTCTCTGTAATTACATTATATATAGATTTATAGAGACATTATAGAAAAGAATTTTTTGCTTTTGTTTTTCTGCAAAAATCTGTAAATAAAAAATAAAACAAAAAAACATGGTGTCAGCTTCTGTCTGTCCATCTGTCCGTCCCTCTGTCGCTCCTCCTGCCCCTGCCCTCCATGGTGCTTCCCAGCAGGCCAGGAAAAGCTCTGGGCTGGGGCCACATCTCACTACACTCCCCACAGCCATAGCTGGGGAGGGACAGGAGCACGTGGAGCTGGAAAGAAGAAACGCCAGCAGAATATATTAATATCTCATACTTCATTTTATTTAAGTCCTGGGGACTCCAGGCGGCAAAGGGCAGCAGTCCCCATGGCCCAGGCAACTCCTGGAAAGAAACGGTGTGGTTTCCAAAGTGCAGGTCCTTCCGGGGCAGGGCACGTGCCCTCGAGCAAGAGGAAGGCAAGAGGAGGCAGAGAAAACTGGTACATCTCCCAGCCATTCCAGTCCCAGCAGCTGTAGCTGATGAGGAGGGCAGGAAGGGTGGTCTCCTCGTGTATTTTAAATAGCAATAGAGGGTGGGATGTGCAGCGAGCCCCCCCTGCCCAGGGGTGTGTATGTGGGACCCCGTGGGGCTGGTGGCCGGGGCAGGGGAAGCGGTGCTCCGTAAGGCAGTGTGCGGCCGCGGGCAGCAGCCGGCCAGGGTAATACTGCGGTGTGCTGCCGAGAGTGGGAGCTGCCGGGCCCCGGCCCGCCCCAGTCCATGCAAGCCTGGGTGGCCCAGCGGTGTCTTTGCCCTCAAAGGGTGGCAGGTGGGAGTGCGTGGCGTCTCAGAAAGCTGTACTGGCCATGCTGGCTGGTGCAAAGATCCTTGGGAGGCTGTCCAGAGTCTCCTCCAGCCGCCGGTGAGCTGATTTACCATCTTCCCCTGCAAGTACATGTCACAGTCAGTGAACTGAACTGTAGCAGTTCTGTCCCCTGCCCACCTTCCCTGGCCATTCCTGGGAAACGTGGCTAATGCCTGACAGAGCTGAGCCACCACGCTATGGCTACAGAGTGAGACCTCTCTTGTCCTTCTTAGCACACCCCTGGGCAGGGCCCAGCTGGGATCCGGCTCAAAAAGCCCCTAGAGCTCCTGATTCAGATGTTGCAAATCCTGTTCCTCAGCTGCTGGCTGTTCCCGTGCCCACACGGGGCAGGGATCACCCATGCGTGGGCTGCACGAGTGCTGGCTTGTGGAGAGCCTAGCATAGAGGAAAGGGGCCAGGGCTCAGGGCTGTGCCAGCTCCAGCATCTCAAACAGCTGTGCACATCTGCATGCACTGGCACAGGGATCCCGAGGGCTTCCCCAGGACCCCTGGACACACACAGGGCTGCACACATCCACACTACAAGCTGGCCCTGAGAATCTTCACCCGGCAGCCTAGCACACAGATCTGCCCGCAGTGACCATCCCCAGCAGGAGGTGGTGACATGGACAATCTGCTGGGAGATGGGACACAAGGCGTCTACATGTGCCGGGGTGCCATGGGAATGGTCTCTATGAACAACCAAGACACACAGACTCCAAAACATGACATGGCTGACAGGCTCTAAGACGGAGACATTCGTGAGCAAAGCGGCAGGAGCGGGGCGGGGGGACGAAGACAGCTCACATGTCCCAACCTGTGCAGCAGCTGCCGCGATCTGGAGGCCTAGAAACCCACTCAGATGGTTCTCTCAGTGCCATCTAGCAAATAATAAATAACATCCAGGCTTAGTGCTCTGTGGCCACAGGATGCCCGGCCCTTGCTGCCTGCTTGCTCTTGCCTGGCAGAGCTTGGGGCACGATGAGCCAGAGTGTGCGGGGTAGGCAGGGACCAGCCCAGGACCCCCTTCTCCCATGGGTGCTGCTGGCACCAGGAGATGCCACTCAGGATGCTGTGGATGGGGAGGGAGCAGAGAGGAGCAGCGAGACACTCACCGCACAGCATCAGGCTCTGCTTGGCTGCCTCCCGCACAGGCTCCTTGTCGGTTTGGCACAGGTAAACCAGCTGCTCGATGCTCTCCTTGGCCTACAGAAGAAGGGACAAGGGGCTCAGTGTGGCTAGCAGGGCTGGCAGTAGGGACACAGCCTGGAGGGGAAGGCAACACAGGGTGCTGCAGCCCCACGGTGCAGGAAAGTCCCTCTCCTGTCCCTTCCCTTCCCATTTCCCTTCCTGCCCTGCCCCTCCCTGCTTCTCCAGCACACTGGGGGCACCCCCAGCTTCTCTCTCCCGGGAGCAGGAGGCTGTGCAGGTGTGTCCAGAGTTGCCAGCCACATGTGATTCCTCTTCCTCCGGAAAACAAAGCTCTGCTGCCTCCTCCCCAAGTCCCTCTCACCTTCAGGCAGCCCAGCGCTGCGCACCCTGCCACGCGCGTCTGCATCTCCTCATCCTCCAGCTGCTCCAGGTAGCACACGAGAGCCTGGGGGAGATGAAGGGTCAGTGCCACCACCCACAGCAGAGTCGGGGGGCAGCACCCCATGAGCGGTGGCACTAGCCCACCTCATCCCTGGCTTGCCCAGCACGTACCCGTTGGCGGAAGCGGGGGTTTTCTGCCAGGCTGCGGAGCTGGGCTGACACGGCGCTCACCACCTTGCTGTTGCCTTCCACGAGGAGCAGGCTCAGTGCTTTCAGCCCCTCTTTCTTCAGGCGAGCCTCGGGTACGCGCTTCAGGGCACGCAGCACCACATCCTGGTCGTCCGAGTTGAGGTTCTGCGCCAGCAGTGCTGCAGGGAACCACCGGCTGAGCCAAGGTGAAGGGACCCCAGCAGCACTGCCTGTGCACCCCTGTCACCGCAGGGAACCCATCCCTGGGCACCCCGCACCTGTGCCAGGCAGGGGTGGCCCCACACAGAGCACCAACATGTGCTGGGGCACCCAATCAAGATGCTGGGGACCTACAACAAGGACCCAGGGTGCTCAGGAAGGCAGCGTGGGAGTGAGATGTGATCAAGGAGATCAGACCTACTTGCCCACCCCAAGGATGGCTGAGCCTCTGAGTGATGCCCCAGTGTGGTCATGGCAGTGCTGCTCCCTATGGTGAGGTTCTGGCACCCCATGCCAGGGTCTAGGGAGGGTGGGAGGGCACCCACCTTCCTCTGTCAGCTCCATCATGTAGGTGTCAAGCACCAGGGCGCTGAGTGACTCAAAGTGGCTCCAGTACTGGAAGATGGTGACCTGCTCACCCTGGGTGCTGCCAGGCCGCCGGGGCAGCCGCCGATCCAGCACATCTTCCACCAGTTTCACACACACTGTGGGAAAGGGCCAGGATCAGGGTGTGCAGCAGTGGTGGCCACCCCTCTGTGGCGCTCCTGGCACCCACAGGCCCCCACTCATCGTCACTGAGCAGAGCTGGCAACTCTCTCCCCAAACCCCGCTGGGTGTCTGCTCACCGACATCAGCCAGGCCAGGGTGCCGCTCACTCATGGGTGCTGCATACTGGGTGCTGAGGACCTGCAGGAACCGCTCCACGGGGCAGGTGTAGATGTTGGGCACCTCCACGCAGTGGTCCCAGAGGGGCAGCACGCCCTCCTTCCGTGTTGAGAACTGTACCACTGTGGGGACAGGCACTGTCAATCCTCCCCGAGCCATGGCAGCAGGCAGGTGACTCCTGCCCTCCAGCTGGCATGGCCCCTTGCTACCCAGCCGTGCCCTTGAGGGGAGAGCCGGCCCCACGCACCCCCCAGGGCTGCAGGGCCGGTCCCCTTGGCCACATATCTTTACCTTCTGCGGCAGAGCCGGCTGCTCCTGCTCGCTCCTCTGTCAGCTGGCACACGATCTCTAGCACCTGCGCCTCTCGCAGCAGCCTGTCCAGGGCGTACATCTCCTGGCATCGCAGTGGACCGAAGGTGCCCAGTTTCTGCAAGGCACAGCCAAATTAGGGACCTCAGGGACAGAGCTCATCACCCACACCACAGTCTCCATGCTGCGGCAAGACACTCCACAAGGGGGGACCCAAAGCCCACCCCAGGGCCTCTCCTGCCACCATGCCCCAGCCCTGTCCTCACCAGCAGCAGGCGGTTGCAGTTGTTGAGGTGAAGCACCAGAGCCTTATCCAGGAACTCGTTGCCAGTGCTCATGGGGTCGGTGCTGGCCTCAGAGCCGCTGCACATGCCGGTGTCATCTGCTCCCGTCTCGCCGGTGCTGGGAGCTCTGCTGCCACGCCGGGGTCTGCCGGCCCTCCTGCAAGCCAGGGAGATACCGAGGCAGTGGGTCAGTGTTGGAGACCTGGACCCAGCCCTTCCTCAACCACAGAGGGCAGTTTCTGTAGAACCTACAGTATCACAGTATTAAGGCTGGGTAAAGGAACAGGGCACAGGACATGGGCTGCCTCCTGGCCCAGCCTCATGGAGAGATGCAGAGTAGAACTGTGCCAGATCCTGCTGCTTCAGAAGGGCCAGATTCTGCTCCTTCTCAGCCTGGACCTGCCCTGAGCTGTGGCGGGCCCATCTAAATGTGTTTGGGCACCCTGGCAGAGCTGGGCATCCCCCATCCCAACTGCCCCAGGGCTGCATCCTCCCCCGTGCCCCATCCCATGAGCCCTGCTGTGCACCTCTCATCTTGGAGAGCCTCCTCCTCGGAACCCTCTGAGTCCTCCATGTCAGAGGTGTTGAGGAAGCTGAAGCTCTCCAGGGCATGTTCCACCGTCAGGCTGATGCTGGAGGCCCGGCTGAGGAAGACACCCTGCTTCTGCTGTGGAGGAAGGCATGACAGGGTCAGATCCTGGCTCACCAGACAGAAACAGCCCTGTCACCTGCATCCCCAGGCACTGCCAGCAGGGATGGCCTTGTCCCCATTGTCCCCAGGCACTGCCATCAGGGCCGACCCTGCCACCCTCACCCCTGGGCACTGCCATCAATGGCCTCATCCCCATTTTCCCCAGGCACTGCCAGCCAGGACGGCCCCATCCCCATTATCCCTGGGCACTCCCATCTGGGATGGTCCCGTGCCCATTGTCCCCAGGCTCTGCCATCAGGGATGGCCCTGTCCCCGTCACCACTGGGCACTGCCATCAGGGATGGCCCTGTCCCTGTCATCCCTGGGCATTACCATCAGGGATGGCCCTGTCCCCGTCACCCCTGGGCAGTGCTGGGAACCCCTCACCAGCAGCATCTCCTCCAGGCGCTTGAGCTCCCGTTCGAGGGGCTGCAGCTCTGGGAACTGCCCCCGATAGTCTTCCAGGGCCGAGCCCAGGAGACCGATGGCCTCCTCCAGACCCGAATCCACCACTTTCCCTCGTGGCACCTCAGGGATGGCAGCAGGGAGTGATGGGGCTGGGACGGGCCTCTCCTCCACAGAGGCTTGTGCCAGTGCCACGGGGATTCTGGTGCCACCCTGTGCCGGCACCTGGCTCTGCACCAGCTCAGCCCCACTGCCCTCCACCTTGCAGGTGGTGGCCCACGCCACGGTGGCCCGGGGCTTGGCCTCATCACCCCTGTCCTGTCCTGCTGTGGCGGCTGCCACCAAGGCGCTGGGGAGGGGGTTCGCGTCCTGCTCGCCCGTCCCTGTGTCCTCAGGGCTGGGCGCGGGCTCCCAGGGGCTCTCTGCAGCCTTGGCCTCCATCGTGGCATCCACGCTGGCCTCACTGATGTGGCTCAGAGTCCGGGAGTAGGGTACGTGGCCATTGGCTACTGCATCCTTCTTACGGCTGCCTGGCTCCTCTGGCTGACTCCCAGCAGGGGGGACACTGATGCCGCTGGCCCCGGGCCCTGCCCCAGCCTCCTCTGGCTGCTGGGAGAAGGAGATCTCGATGGCGGGGGCAGAAGCCTGCACCTCGGGCTGCACGATGGGCTTGTGTGCAGCATGGCGGGCGCTGCCGGACAGCTGGGGGCTAGAAGAGTCATCCGAGGACTCGGAGGAGATGGACCAAGCTGTGCCATTCTCCAGCTCCTCCTGGCGCCGCAGCATGTTCTGGGAGGGGGGAAAATGGTGTCAGCCAAGACCCTCCTGCACTCCTGCTCCTCCCGCTGCCTTCCCTTCAAGTGGGGTCAGGATCCAGCCGAGCCAGAGGGCACTGAGGCCCCTGGGGCCACCAGCACAGACTGCCACATTGCCCTGGCTCTGCTGACACAGCAGGACAAGGAGCCGGCAGACCACAGATGCCTCTTCCCACGCTGCATCTCACCCCATGCCAGGGGGGAGCCTGACTCCCCAGACCCAGCCACACACCCCCTAGAGCCATGGGGTGCCAGCCTCTCCCCAGCACGGCGGGCAGCTCCAGCACAGCCATGATGAGGTGTGACACGTGGAGCTGAGGACATCACCCACCACGGGTGGTGCAAGAACAGCATGAGCTCCAGCACCACCAGCATATGGGGGGCAGCACCGGCCATCACACCAGCGTCATACCTGAACCAGTGTCACGCCAACGCCATGTTAGTGTCACACCAGCACCATGGCAGTGTCACACCAGTGCCATGCCAGCACCATGCCAATGCCATGGCACAGCACACCAGTGTTGCCAGTGCAGGGACACAGACAAGCTGCCTACTCACTAGTGCTCAGGTCTCACATGAGGGTGTGCAGACAGAGGAGCAGGGCCGGCCTGTGCAGCCCAGGCTCCCTTAGGCTGGGAACTGTCTCCTCAGTGCCAGCCCGACCCTGCCCAGCAGGATCAGGCCTCTGGGTATCAGCGAGTGCCAGTGAATAGGAGATAAGGAGCGGCTACAGCTACTGCGGGATGGCCACAGCACAGGGCTATGCTACTGGCTGGCTCCAGCCCTTGCACTTACGTGGCCCTGCTGCGGCCATCTCCTGAGCTCGGCCGAGGAGACGTCGCTGCAGGAGCAGCCCTGAGACAGCTTCTCGAAGAGTGTCTCCCGAAAGATGTCCATCAAGGACCAACCATTCTTGTTGGTTGCCTGCCCCGGGCTCTTGTGCAAAGAGAAGAGGAGCTGTGAGTGTAGGAGGAGTGGGCACTGGTACTGGGAAGCTGTGGCTGGAGAGGAGCTGCCCACCCCTGCACCTGGGCTGTGCTACCCTCTGGGCACAACCCTGTGTGCACCTCTCCCCGGGCCACCCCTTCTGAGCACCCTTGCCTGGCACCACACTTACGTAGAAAGCCTGTTCCCGCAGGGACGGTGTGTCAGGCGGGCTCTGGTTGTAGGTGGAGAACCTCTTGTTCACTGTAGAGGCCTTGTTGACAGTGCTGGCTGCCGAGGGCTGGTCATCCTTGTCAAAGGGGCTGGGGAGGAGGGCAGGGAGGTGAGGGGTCTGTGCCAGCCTGCAAGGGTCTCGACCCTGTTCTGCAGCAAGCAGGACACCAGGACCCCATCCAGGCCTATTTTCCGTAATTGCAGCCCAGTTTTGGGATGAGAGAGAACCCAGGGTAGGCCATCTCTTGCCATGCCATGCCAGGCACCCCCAGCCCTGCTATGTGCTTCCAGCAATGCCTGCTGAGATACTCACTTCCAGGTCACCTCCAGGCTGAGTTTGAGGGTGCCCAGGTCATTGATATCCACAGCCACTACCTGGGGCAGAGCTGCAAAGAGGTCCTTGGTCTCGCAGGACACATTGCCCACCACAACATGGTTGGCCAGGCTCTTTAGCTCTGTCACCTGGAGAAGGAGAGGGAGGAGAGGATGAGATGAAGCCCTGAGCTTCATCCTGTCCATGCTGCTTGCATCCATGCTGTGTGCCAGGATGCCACCACCACCACCAGACAGGCCCCTCCCACCCCAGTAAGCATCAGGTTTAGGTGAGGTCCTGGAGGAAAGCCCTGCTGGGATGCAGTGTGGTAGCTGGCCCACACCATCCCTGCCCCCTTCTGCACTGTACCTTGATGGAGAGGAACTCAGTGACGAGGGGCAAGAAAACCATTTCCTCGCTGTCCCACACCTGCTTGCTGTTCACCTCGATGCGCCCCCGCAGCTTCCAGCGCTGCCGGCCATACTTCATGAAGATCTGGGGATGGAGAGGCGTGGGTGTGAGGGAGATGATACAGTACCAGGGTGGTGGGTGCTCTCTGTGTGTCCCTGCCCATGGCCAGCAACCCATGCCACCCACCACCACCCTGCAACATGCCCTCCATGCCAGCGCCCACCTACACCCCCCAGGCACCCCAAGGACCACAGGGCAGAGAAGAGCAGATTGCAACACATATGGTCCCACCAACCTCATACTGGTCACCAGCACAGAGCCGGGCAAAGCCTGCCAGTCCTGCAAGAGAAGGCAGAAGGGTGTCGGGAGGCAGTAGGCAGGCAGGCAGGCAGACAGCAGGCCAGGGATGGAGTGGGATGTGTTACCTTTCATACGGACATGGAACTCGCCCAGCTGGCTCTCCAGCTCATTCTCCAACAGGCACATGTTCTGGGGACGGATGGACAGACAGCACCCATCAGCAGCCACCCATGGGACCCAGTGCCCTGCCAACCCACATCAACCATCCGCCTCACCTCTGTGTACTCCTTGTAGCCCTTGCTGGCCTCGGCCAGGCTCTCGCGTGCCTCCCGGCTGCCCGGCGAGCCCGTGCTGTAAGCCTTGACCATGTTGTGGGCTCCATCGCGGAGCCGCCGCTGGATGCAATAAGCCTCATAAAGCTCATCTATCTGCAAGGACAGGCCCGAGCTGTGGTGAGGGGCAGAGTGGGGGACAGTATGGCTGTCCCAGCACTGCACCAAGGTTGCACCAAGGTGACCCGGCCCCCAGCTCTCACCTTACTAGCATGAAACTCCAGGCGACGCAGGAAACGCTCGATTGACTTCACTTGCTGGAAAAGCAGAGGAGACGGTGTGAGCACTAGCCCAACCCCTCTGTGGAGGAGCCACAGGTCAGGATGTGCCCTGCTGCGTGCCCAGGCTGTGGCTGGGATGGATCCTGGTCATAAGCCCTGCCTGGGAGGTGCAGGGCGACAGGCGGCAGAGGCTGTGCTTGCACCCATGTGCTGCAGCATCCTCCAGCCTCCCCTGCTCCGGAGGGTCCCCCAGGAGACAGGCCAGGCTCTGGGGTGCTCTTCTGCCAGTCTCAGAACTAATGCAGGCTCAGCTCTCACCACCAACAGCTTTTGTTTGCAAGAAGCAGGTTAAAAACCCCTGCCTCTCTTTGCTTCATCCCCTGCCCAGCCCCACCCTGCCTGCAGAGCCCCGATCCCACCCCACGGGCACTCTGCCGTGCAGGGCACAGGGGGCGGGCAATGGGGCAGTGCAAGCAGAGAGGGGCTGGCAGCAGCACATCCCAGGCTCTAGGAAGGGGGAGACAAGTGGTCAAGGCACTGATCCCGCTTACCTTATCCAGATCGTAGAGAAAGCCCTGGAGGAGAGAGGAAAGGGATAAGACGCAGCACAAAGCCAGATCTGCCCACCCAAGGAGACCCAGCACATTGCACCCACCACCCATAGCATGTTGGCGGGGACATGCAGCACCCAGCCAGGGCTGGACAGTGCATGACAGTAGGACAGGAGCCCCATGCAGCCCAACATCAGAGCCCGGGCTGGCCCCTGACATCCCCACAGAAGCAGGCTCTGCCCTGGGACATGTGAGCTGTTCCCACAACCCCTGCCCTCTGCCCAAAGCACCACTCCACATAAGACTCTTCTCAAGCGACACTCACCAGGCGCGAATTCCTCTTGGACTCACGGATCTGTGTGCTGAGCTTCTCCAGCTCCAGCTGGTGCACCTCCAGGTAGGCTCTGGGGGAAACCACACCACAGGGGTCAGGCTGGGACACCATGTCCAGGGTTCCTGCCACCCACAGACCACACCGACCCAGCACATCTGGCCCTGCATCCCCACTCCAGCACCCAGGTGAGGCACCCCACCGGAGTCTCTGTGTGGGACGTGGTGAGATGTGGGACCCCCACACAGCCCCAGGCCCACCCCTCTGCGCCCACAAGACCTGGCACATCCCTGCCTGGTGAGAGTGGAGACCTGCCAACCCCAACCCATGGCAAGCTTCCCTGTGCCCTTCAGGGGCTCCCCGCCTCCAACCACCCGGTCACGGGGAGCCCCAGCACTTACGTCAGGCCCTTCTTGAGAGCTTCGTACACCTCGTCCAGGCGGTTGGGCTGAGGCACCTTGGGTGGTGGGGATTTGTGGGACATTGAAAACATCCTACTGACCCTGGAGCCAGTCTTGCGGGAGACAGTGGGGGTGAAGGGTGAGAGGTTCCTGGGGAGAAAGGCAGGCAAACCCAGGGTGGCCAGGGTCAGCAGATAGCACCGGGGTCTGCCTGGGTGCCCCAGCCTGACAAGCACCCTGTCTCAAGACAAGCAGGAGCTCTGGGATGGAGGCCTAGTCCACCCAGACCTGCTTGCCTCTCCCAGTACTCCCCAGCAGCCAGTCTAACCAGCCAACGGGGCTGGGTGAGATGGGGCCAAGAGGCTGGGCAGCACTGCCTGCACTGCATGCCTGCAGCCACCCCAATGCCTTTGGCTGCCCCAAAGCCATGGGAAGGACAAGGAGAAACCCACAAAGCTCGTGGTGGAGAAGAGCAGGAATTATCCTCATCCCAGTGGGGTCAGAGAGGCTGGCCATGGGGCAGCCTCTGAGGAGGTATGGGGGGAGCAAAGGCAAAAGGGGCTGGCACCAGCCAGAGCCAAGCTGCGCTCCTGGAGTGCCTGTGGGGACATCTCCAGCCCTGGCCACCCTCTGAAGGGGCCATGCTCTGCTCCATCACCAGCACCCCAGGTTGCCAGAGGCATGGAGATGCTCCCTGTGGTCTGAGAACCATGGCAGGGTGACACATGCCACCATTGGCTTGCTGCCCTACCACTATGTGCTCCCAGGGAGAGGCAGGGATCCCAGCGGGTGGCAGCACAGGAGCATCCTAGGACAAGCAGCCCTGTCACCCCATCACACAGTGTAGCACATGGGGCAGGGACATCCTCACTGAGCCTACACCTCTCCAAATGTCACCAAATCCGCAGTATGGAGCTGCTGGCTGCCTGGTGCCTTCAGCTGCCCCACTGCTGCCTTGGGGACCTCCCCCGGCCAACCCGAAAGGGTGCTGACCCAGCACCCAGGACCCAAACACCACCCACCCTTCCTGCCTTGTGTAATGGAGTCTTCTCCCCAGCCCAGCGAGCAACGCCCCGCTCAGACCTGCTCTTCTCTTCCTCCTTCCAACACATCATTGTGCCACTGGCATCCAGGAGACACCTCAAGCTCCTCAGTTTCCAGCCCCGGGCTGGACCTCCCATCCTGTGCTGCTCTTTGCAGGAGTGGCCAAAAGACTTCCCCGAATCATTGGTGGGGGAAAATGAATGTCTTGGCCTCCTCCCAAAGCCGAGTGATGGCTAAGCGAGTGATTTCCACCATCTCTCCTCATCCCATCCTCCAGGGCCCCTGGAGTTATCCCCCACAAGCATCTCTCCACCAGCCACTTGGATATAGGCATCCAAAAGTCCTCCCTCGCCCCCTTCCCCAGGCAAGCCCCTCTAGCACCCCCAGATCCAGTGACGTGCTGGTGGCCTGGAAAATGTCACTTGTCCCAGAGGCTGGACAGGACACAGGGACAAGAGCCAAGCAGGGCTGAGGGTCTTCTCCCAGGCACGGGGAGGCTCTACCTGCACTTGTGCCCACCCAGTGAAGGTGCCCATAGCCTGGCAAGGCAGCGTAGTGCTGTTTTCCCTAGCCATTTGGCTGAGAGATGTCTCTCCTCTGGCACCAGTGGGTGCACTGGGAGGTAAGGAGCCTGGCTAGGCACTAGGAAATGGGATTAAAAGCATTAAAATGCTATAGTCACACACCCGTGGCATGCCCATGTCCTGAGAACCACCTCTGAGAGGGTAGACAGGAGCTAGGGACAGTGCGGGGCAGGGTGGTGGGGAGGAGCAGAGCGTGGGGTGGTTCTCACCAATGTGAGGTTCAGCAGAGAGGAGGAGGGACATGATGGGACCTTAACATCACCAGTGGCTGGAGGAGAAGGGAATGGCTGCTCCTTGCAAAGCAGCTGACGGGCAGCCAATAAAACCTTTCAGCAACAGGTTTGAAATGACCTGGAGGAAACCCTGATTCACGCCAGTACTCAAATCCCAAAACCAGCTGCCACAGGATGTCAGGGCCATTGAGACACAATGCTTCAAAGCCACCCCAGCTCCTCCACCGCACCCATTAAACACGATGAGATTGTCACAGGGGAGCTCTTAAGGGCTGGCTAAAGAACGAGAGTGAGCTACGCTGGCCCCCTCCATGCCCTGGTGGCAGCAGCTACAGGGTCCTCACCCAGGCTGGGATACGGCACAATGAGGGGCTGAGGTGATGGGCTCTGTCTCCCATCTGGCCTCGATGCTCCCTGCAGCCCCTCATGCAACATCCCCTGGGGACCACAAAGGTCCTTGAGGGAGATGCCCGGACAATGGGTTGGGAAGGTGCCTCGGGATGTGCAGTAGGTCCATGGCATGCCCAAGGCTGTCTCCATCCCCCCCCCCATCCCTCTTGGCAGGCAGCACGAGCACCCGTCTCCTACCTGAAGGGCCGGTCGGCCGTTGAGTTCACTCCAGCAAAAGACTGGCTCCTATTGATCTTGGTGACAAGGACTCGGCGCTGCGGGCGCACAGACAGTGACATCGTTGAGTGTGACCTGGAGGGCCTCCCTGGGGGGTATGAGAAAGCGGAGTCAACACCAGAAGAATGGGGAAACACAGAATCATCTAGGTTGGAAAAGACTTTGAAGATAAACACATGCAGGCAGGGCTGCCACTGAGACCAGGATGGGAACAGCCCCACGGACCAGGGTGGTTACGGCACCCGTGGGCTGGGGCAGACGTAGCACCCACAGGCCGGGAGCCTGCCCTCCCTCTCAGCCCAGGTACACTCCTGGTGGCACAGGGGACACAGGCCCTGTGCTGCCCCCAGAGATGTGTTGGTGTCCTGCCCTGGGTGAAACAGGGCTCTGGACACTGTGAGCCCTCAGCAGGGACAGACAGACACGTACGTCCCAGCTTGGCCCCCTGGGAGCCACAGGAAGGGGCTGATGCCCAGTGCCTACCATGACCCTTCCTGGATACAGCCGTGTCAAACCCTCTGCTGTGCCCCAGCCTGGCCACCTCCTCCTGAACCCCGCCTTGTCCCATGTCCCGCTGTCACCCGTGTCACCCCACTGCAGAGGCAGGAAGGGCGCGGGGCCAGACCGGTCGCCCAGCCCTTCGCTGTCTCTGTGCTGGCTTCCGCTCGCTCCAGCAACCAGGAGGGAAACCCACAGGCAACAAAGTGCTTTGGAAAGTCCCCGACTTTGCCAGGAGCTCTGCATCGAGGAAGGAAAGGCTGAGCTATTCCCCATCGGACCCTGGAAAGTCCACATGGGCAGCACGTGTGCAGTCCCACAGCTGCCACAGCCCTGCCCTCTGCTCCTGGCAGCTGCCAGGTGCCCCAAAACCGCTGTCCCTGTGGCAACTGGTGCAGTCGGTGCCAGCCAGGACTGAGCAAATTTCTGCATCTCAGGGTCTGGACCCAGCTCCCACCCCATGTCATTGCTGCAGCCCTGGCCGGGGCATGGGGAGGGCAGCCCAAAGCACAGAGCAAGAACAGGGGAGTCCAGCATGGAGGAGCCCAGCCCACAGGGCACCTGCAGGAGCAGGGCAGGAGCTGCTGAATGTTCCATCCTGGCCACTGCCGACACCAACTCAGTCCCTCTGTCCCCACCAGCTGCGGGCTGGGGAGCAGGAGCTGCCAGGGCTGAGCCCACATGGTGCCTGGCAGTCACACACCCTGCCAGGGAAGGCCAGGCAGGGCCCTGGGGATGCACAGCTTCCCCCACTGGCAGATGGGGCCAGAGCCATCTCCCCACACCTCAAGGGTTACTCAGCCTTTCCTCCTGCCCCAGCACAGCCAGCCATGAGCCCCCACCCACAGCAGCACCAGCAACAGCACAGGGACAGAGGTGCTGCCGGGGCTCCTGCTGCTATCCCCGCTCCTTCCCCTGGCACAATGAAGCCCAGGAGCCCAGCTCAAACCCACCTGCTTGGCCACTGGTGGGCATCCCTCCAGTGCTGTGCTCCCTGCCGCCCCGCAGCCACGCCGTCACCTTCCCGCACACCATGCTGGGGCCAGGCATTCGCAGTGCCTGGGTTGAGCCAGGGTTGTTGGGAGTCAAAGCCAGCCACCACCAATAATCTCTATCTCAGTGGAGCTGGGATGCAGCAGAGCCATTTGGTCTCCCCTTGGCACTCGGGTCCCAGGCCAGGACCACAGAGCCGCTCTGTGGGTCCCACCACCTTGGTGTTATCTCAGTGCCAGTCCCTCCAGTTTCCAGGACAACACTGTCCCAATTAAGCTCATTAGGAGGAGCTGTAATCCCTGGCAGCCCAGCTGACCTGCAGGGCCTGGGCAGATTACCCTCTGCAGGGCTTTTTAATCTGCTCCCCACTGAGCAAGCAAGGCCCACAGCACCGGCACTGGCTGCCCCAGCTGGGCGATACAGTGGCTCATCTATAGGGAAAGCACCCACCACCCCTACGATGGGGCTCTTCACACGTGGGGCAGGTCACGGCCCTGCCAGCCCATCCTTCCCCAGCCCACGTCGCCAGCTGGGAGCACAGGGGCGCTCTAAGGAGAGTCACCCAGGCAGGAGCCTGTGCCAGGGTGAAGGATGCTGAGGGTGTCAGAGGAGAAGGATGCTGAGGATGCTGCAGAGGGAGAAGGATGCTGGAGTGCCGCAGAGGGAGAAGGATGCTGAGGCATTGCAAGGGACCAGTGCCCCAATACAACTCCCCAGGAGAGTCAGAACAACCCCCAGCTGCTTACTCAGGAACCTCACAGGCTCCAGCAGCCACCTCACTGCGCTGGGTTGTGCTTCAAGGCACCTGAGGCTCCCGCACAGGCACAGGGAGCAGTGCCATGAGCAGTGGCTGCTGACAGGACCACATCCCTGCACTCCAGCCCAGGGACCCGGCTGACCCCCAAACACCTGCTGCAATGCACCTCACCACAAGGCCAGATCGCCAGCAGGATGTGTGCAGAGCTGAGCTGGCAGCAAGGGACAGCGCAAGCCCCAGCACTTGCAGCCAACCAATCCAGCACCCGGCCCCGGACACTGCCAGGTCCTGCCAGTGCCAGCTGTCTGCCGTGGCACCCTGCTTCCCCAGGCCTGGCACCCTGCAGCCTAGATCCTGTGCCAGGACACCGTGGCCCCTCTCTGTGGGAGAGGTGCCACGGGAGCCCCAAGGATGCTCGAGCCCGGCACATGCAGGCAGCCAGATGGGTGCTGGAGGGCAGCACTGCCTGCATCAGGCAGGGCGCGGGGTCTCTGCTCCCGGCAGGCATCGCTCACAGAAGAGGAAAAATCCCTGGCGTGGTGCATTCCTGACATTACCGAGATAAGAGGTACCTGGTACAGCGGCGGCAGGGTCAGCCCCGGCGGGGAGCAGAGCTGGGGGCACGCGTGGAAGGGGCCACAGGCTGCTCGATTGCGCCCAGGCTGGTGAGCCCCATGCCAGGCTTGCCAGGAGGCTGGCACCAGGCAGAGCATCGGCACACTCATGTCCCTGCCACGTGCTAAGCCCCAAGCACATCCCTCCCTCTCCTGAGAAGGAGCCGCAGAGGTCCTGCCCCAAAGGTCCAGTCCCCGCCAGCCCCACTGCCCCCTGACCTTAATTAGAGCTTCGGCGCTAACAAAACCGCCTCCCAACCAAGCTTTTCACCTTGCCGTGGCTGCGCCGCAGACTGCCTGCAGCTCTCCCGCTGTAGGAAATGCAATCTTGGGAGTCCCTCTGTCCGTCTGTCCCCGGCCAGCGCTGCCCACAGGCAGTGCCCGAGCGGGCAGAGCAGCCAGGTGTGAGCAGCTGGGTGGGCACCGCAGCGAGGGGGGTGCTGGAGCCCACCCCGGGGCTCTCCAGCCCGGCCACGGGCTCCTCTCTCGACACCCGGTGCTCTGTAGATGATTGGGATCCCAAGAATGCTGGTCTGAGCGGCGGAGGGGGCAGTCCGACCGGCTGGGTTGGTCCCAGCTGGTTTCTGTTTCCGACACTCAGACACCAGCCTCAGGTCGCTCCGGCGGGTTTATCAACACTGCCCTGGTCGGTGACGCCCCAGACTGCCTCCCCTGAATCTCCAGCCCTGCAGCCCTGGGAGCTGGGGGTGCTCTGACCAGCATCTCCAGTAATGTCACTGGAGATCAGCAACACCCCGGGTGGCCGACCCAGCACCCTCCAGCACCCTCAGGGAGTGGCACCCACGACCAGCCAGCAGCACCCATGGCCACCCAAGGGGCTTCCACAGGAGGGGGTGGCAGGGCTGGGCTGTGGTCCCCACGCTGATGGCACTGCAGCCACCTCCCTGGGCACAGCGAGGTATGGGTGTCCCCTAACGAGGGCACAGTGGCCACCGGCCGGTCCGTCCTGCTCACAGCATCACCCAAAGTGTCTGGCAAGCAGGGGATCAGGCCCCCCCCACGCCAGAAACGTGACCCCCGTGCCAGAAACGTGATGCCCCCACCCTGGCACCCTCGGCTGAGTGTCCCTTGGGCACGCGGTGGGGACGACCTCGGGAGCCTGCGAACTCAGCCCCTTGGCACGGCTCCCCCGCCCAGCCGCCGCATCCTTGTTTGCACAGCTGCGTCCCTGCTGCCATAACCCAGGCACGTACCCCGGCCCCCCGCCAGCCCCTTCCGGCCCCAGCACGGCCCTTGGCCGGCTCCCGGCGTGGGCTGGAGCAGCTCTTCCCTCCTGCTGCCCCCCAGCCCTCCCCGGCACAGAGGACAGGAGCATCCGAGGACCAACGCCATGCCTCCGTGGTCACAGGCAGCCTGGGACGCCTCTTCCCTGACCTCCTCCACGCTCTGCCTCTCCTCCAGGCAGGCAGGACCCCCCCACACCTGCCCCCCACGCGGGGCGAAGAAGGGTATTGTTTTTTTTCTGGGAGTTGATGAGTCAGTGAACGGCATCCCAGCTCCCTGTGACTCATTCAGAAGAGAAGCTCCCGGCTATAAGGTCGCAGCCCCCGCCAGAGCAGGGGATGGCAGTTTGGGTGCTGCGGGTGGGGGGGCTGGATGGATGCTGGGTGCTGTCGGTGAGGCAAGGCGGCGGTATCCGCCCTCCTGGCCGAGGGAGGCCGGCTGGCTCCTCGGGCTGAGTGGGAGGGCGGCAGGAAAGGGAAGGAGCTGCAAATGGGAAGAATTGGAGGAAGTGCTTACTTACCCCGTGGAGTATCCCCGAGGAAGGGCAGGGCACGGCGCAGGCAGTCACTCATGGCCGGGTCCCCGCGGGGAGACTCGCAGCCTCCCACCACCCATCCCATGGGCTCCCAGTTCCCAGCCAGAGGGGATGCAAG